TAAGATGTCGTTTATAAACATATACGACAATATCTAAGATTAAATTCACGACAAAATTTTATGACTGTTTACAAATCAAACTGAAACTATGTGATGAAGTTCAGATTTTACGTCAAAATTTATTTACTATTTTTTTCTTTCGATTCAGTTTATAACTGTAATCAAATTAAAAATCAACTGATCGCTGTTAAAAACTCCTAGAGTACCTTGTATAACGGTACTTTCAAAAATAAATTAGTTTGACGTATACAATTCAGCATTTTAAAATATTGTTATTTTAAGTTTATGGTTGTCTAGCTCTATAATATTAATCTTTAATCAATAATGATTAACACAGATAAAAATTATTTTATAATTAAAGTGTCATATAATATACGTCATAGTATATGTGACAGTTTTGAGAATTTGACATTTTGAGTGGGTTTACATGTACTCTTTTGATTTGAAGCATTTTTCTTAAGGTGGTAGCCATATTTCTTTTGGTTTTGTAAAAATTCAAGTAAAAAACCCGTAAAATGAAAAGTAAAAATTAAATAGACATTTTCCAGTTGCGAAAATGCACAAAATTTTGTTTTAAACTTGTTTGACATTTCAGATTGAAATTGAGTTTTTGTCGTTTTCATTTTTAACTTTTGAGAATTTTCTTTTTTTTTTCAAATTCTAATTCATGAATAGATATGCCAATTAAACAGAAAATTATTATTGTTTTATTAAAAATTATTTAAATAAATTAGTTATATAAAAATTTTTATAAAAATTTACGAATTTTAAAAATAAGCGGGATTCTTTCTGTTTTTGAACGACGTCGATTTGTCAATTGAAATTTTGAGGAGAGTGTGTTACGAGTATAATTAATGTGTAAATACTTTCTATATTCATCTGTGTATATGCAAGTTTATATCGTACATCGAAGAAATTGTATTTTTTTTTTATAAATTACATAGATTATTTTTTTCTCTTTTTTTGTCATATGCAATATTTCCTTAATTTACATTATGTATAGTATATGTATATAAGTATATTTTAAATAACCTATAAGAAAATTTTATGTTTTAATATTTATAAATTTTTTATTTTTAATTTTTATGCAAGTTGTTTATATTAATAATTCTTATTTACATTATTTTTCTTGTTTTTTATATTCACAAAAAAATAAAAATAAAAATTAACAAAAAAAAGATTTTCGTCCTGCGATAACTTGATCTATACCGTTAACCTATATAATAGAATATTTTCTCTACAATTTTTGAAACATAAAAATTTTGGATAAAAAATATTTTATGTTTTTTTTTTGGTTAATTTTATTTTTGTATTTGTTTTGATCTTCTAAATTTGGTTTTGAATTTTGGTTTTTCTTGTTTGTTTTTTTTTTGTCTTGTAATTATAGCCTAAAGCCACGTTACGTTTATAGAGTAAAACTTACAAAATAATTTTAATAATAATTTATAATAAATTTTTTTTTTATATTTAAAAATAATTTTAATTTTAATTTAGTTTTGAAAATAAATCCGAACTATAACAGCGCTGTTCTTCTGTTTTAATAAAAAAAATTTTTTATATTACTTAAAATACGTGACACACAAATAATATCAATCGTGTTATGTGAAAACAAAAATAATAAAAATGGGTGATAAATTTTATATGGAAAAAAATATCTTGAAATTAATCTTGTATTTTCGCATTTGCTTTGTTTAAAGTCATCATGTCATGAATATCGACTTGCTAACACAGTCGAATCTGCGTAATTGCAAACCCTGCATTTAGGTGGGTTTGCAATTCCATTCTGATCATTTTTAAGATTTTTTTAAACTCTTTCAACTGGAAAATTGCATTCGGCATAAACGAAAATACCCTTCTCATTACAAAATATAATTTACATTAAAATATGAAAAAAAAACATAAAAATACAACAGGTTAATTGCAAAAAAATGCTTTAAAAATTATCAGTTTTCAAAATCATTCACAATATTATGATTCACATTTGAAAAAATCGCGACATCTATATTTGTGTTTTAAAGCTTCAAAACATTGTTATGTGTGAGCTATGAGCATTAAATTGAAGACTGCAAAAAAATGTTGGAATTGTGCAAAACCCGTTTAATTGCAAAAAATTTTTCTTCTTTTTTAGGTTTCTAATTATCTTGGTCCGGCTGTATATTGGGAATAAATGTTCAAGTGAAATTAATAAATATATTTTTTACTGTTGTTACTGACTTCATTATTTAATTATTTTGTTAAATAATTTTAATTAAATTAAATAAAAAAAATTAAATATATTGCAATGTAAAGTAAGAAAACTGAGCTTACTGGAAGCAGAAACAAAAGCTTAAAGAATTGAGTAAATAATTACATAAAAATTGCATACACTCAGACGTTCAACTCTATTAAAAATCAAAATTAAATGAAAAATAAAATTTTATTTTAATATTTCCACTTAAAAATTTTGTTTAAAGTGAACATTTCTTCATTTTTTAAAATTATATTTTAATTTTAAAGCACTTTTCTTTCATATATTTCACTATTTTGTTTAATATTAGAAAATGTGGACGATACACCTATAAGCATATAATTAATTGCATCATATGCACCTTAGTTCTACTAATTTCCTTTTTTTTTTCATTTATTTTAAAATTATTGTATGAATCATAGATTTTTCTTAGAGAAATTATTTTATTACGCACACATTAAGATTCATGAGGGCAAATTGGTGTATTAAATTAAAATGTTTAAAAAAAGATTTTTTTTTTTATAAATGCAAACAAAATTAATAATATTAAATATTACATTTTTTTTTTTAAATTATATTTTGATTATTTTACAGAGGAGTTTAATTAAATTTGGTATAGTAAAATGTTTTTCTAAACTAGAAACTTACAACCTTGCAAAATTTTAAGTTTTTTTTTTTTATTAAAGTCAAGAATAATTTCAGAAATCATAGTTAGCTGTTATATTATATAACACATTTAGATGCTATATAGTTATATATAGTTATGCATTATACTTTGAATTATTTGAAAACTAATTAAATAAAACTATTAGATATTAAATATAAAAATAATTTCCATATATTTTTATACCAATTCGATTTTCTCGTATCGCCATTTAAGAAATGAATAATATTCAATTATTTTTCCACACTGTACTGTAGCATACTGTTATACTGTTACAATACATCCTGTTATTATAGCATTTGAATATGAAAGTCTTGTGAAACTTTCAAAATGGAACAAAATTCAATATTTTAATTTTTAATTCAGTTGTTCCAAAAATCGATTATTGTTGAAATTATTAAATTTCTTGATTAATTTTCATTATAGTTATTATTTTACTTAATTTTTAAAATCAATTGAAAAAAAAATTTTGCGTTACAAAAAGGATAACAATATTTTGACAGTTTCTGTCAAATCAATACCATAATCGGCGGTTAAAAATAACATAATGTAATTGACAATATAGAAAAAAATTTATGACTTTTCATTATTTTCAAATTTTTTGTTTTTAAATTCCAAATTCTAATTTAACAATAATGAATAGTAAATGCAAAATAACATTTGACAACCAATACCCAAAAATACAGATATATGAAACACTGTAACGTTATATGTTAATATGTATGTGAGGCAGTTATATAAATTCAATTCAGAATATTGATAAATACGACAATCCAGAATATTGACCTGTCAATGGGCTGCTCACATTACTGCGAAATTACTACAGCGACAGTCGCATAAAGTGTCAAAATATTATTCAACAGATTTTTTGTGTTATACAACATGTTTATAACAATTTTGTTTTTATTGCTTTTCAATTCTTATTTAAATAATCAAAGGACAATATAAAAATAAAGGTTTTTTTTAACAAAATGTCATTTTTGTTTTTCATGTCATCATATACTTTCTACATACATATATGTATTATTGATAAATTGACATTAAAATAATGCGATACGAGATGACAATTGTAATTGAAATTTAATTATAAGAAAGGTTTTTCATTGATCATATTTAAAATAAATTTAAAATTGTATTTGTATAATAATTTTGATATTTTTATTAAGCTTAATAATTTATTTAATAAATGTCATTTTTTTTTTCAATTTAAAGTATATAATATTAGTTTTGTTTTTTGTCTAATTTAAATGTATGTATATGAGAAAATTATTTATATTATATGAAAACGAAAATTGTATTTTAATTTTTAAAAAACAAAAAAGAAATTTTTTGTAATAAATTCGAGTCACTTGCATAACCTGTTCGTGTGTGTATTAAAAGTTTATAATTATATATATATAGTTTTCCTTTTCTTTTTTTTTTATTTAATTAAAATGACTAGCTACACTAAGAGTTTATTTCAATTTAAATTTTTACTTAAATTTCTTTTGTATATTTTGTTACTTTTTTTTTTAATTGGTTTTTATTCCTTTTTTTTCTTTTTGTTATTTATTTAATTAAGTTTCTTAAAGTTTTTTCTTTTTGTTCTATATATTTGAGTTTTTGAAAAAATTTATAATAAAAATTTACAAAACAAGCATTTTTGCGTTTACACTTTTTTTTTTTGAAATTATGAAAAGCAAAAAGATTTTTAAACAATGTGTTTGTTTTTTTGTTAAATTAACAACTTAGAAAAATATTGTTATATTGCATAATTAAATGCAATATGAGATTTTATACACAACATGAAAATAACTTTTAATTTTAACATTTATATTTAAAATATTTTCTTTTGTTTTCTTTAAATATTATTTTTACTATAATTTAAATTTCTTATATACTAAACAAAATTTCTAAAAACTAAAAAAAAATTATTTTATGTAGAACTCAAAAACGAAGATCAAAAGTATAAAAAAAATATATGCATGTATATATATAGTAAGTTTGTTTTTTTATAAATAATAATATTTACTAATTTATATAATTTAGTTGAGAAACACATTAAAAGAAGAAAATTTTTTTGCGAAGGTTTTTACAATGTCAAATGCCTTCTTACAATTTTCTTACGTATATAATCAGCGAATTGTGTAAAAATTTCAACTAGGTAATGCAGTGTTTTATTTAAATATGAAGTTGCGGTAGGTTGAAGTTTTATTGAAATTTGAACATATTTTGTTTTTTATTATTATATTAATTCTTACAAACATCAAATATTGAGAATCATTGTTAAATGAACAGTTTTTTACTTTGAAATAAAAAATGCAACTTTTGCAATAAAAACCATAAATTATTAAAAAAACAGTAAATAAATCCGGGATTCGAAAACGAATTTTTGGAACAAAGGCAAATACAATTTTTCATGTTAATAAATATTTGAATTTAAAATAAAAATTTCCGCACACTTTTGTGTAAATTATTGATTTTTGAATCGATTATTTCAAAAATCGATTATTAATTTATTAATTGTAAAACAAAATCAAAAAAAAAAATATTTTGCTGTCATCGTTTCAGATTTACTTCTTTTAATGCATTTCATATGAATTTTTTTTTTAAATTTTTTAAAATTTTTTATTTATTAATTTTTTTTCCCTTTTTTTTTGTTTTATAATTAAATTAAAATGTTTGCGCTACTTTTTCCGTAAATTTTTTACATATTCCAACGAATCTCCGTCACATTCCAACTGTATTATGTGACTGATTCAATGATTCTGGATTTTCAGCTACCGATGTTGTTTCTTCTTCCTCTTCATTGTTTTCATCAACGTCAGCCAAATTTTCTTGGTCGGATTCTTCCAATGTTACCTAAGTGCGCAAATTGAAGAGAAGGATTTTCTTAATCCTTTATTTCGTTTTTAAATTGTTTTTGATTTTTTGTGTTTTTTTTTTTTCAACATTTAATATACAGTTTACAATTTTATATCAGACACAAAAGTATATTTTTAATATATAGATTGTGAATATAGTAAATATTATTTATTATAATTGTTTTTTGTTTTTTTTTTTTAGATAGATTATTGTAGTAAAATTTATTTTAATTTTTATTATATAAATTATATATATATATATATATATATTTATATAAACATATTAAATTAAATATAAACATAAATTCGTGTTTTAATCGCAACCAACCTGAAAACGGATCTTTTCTTCTCCTTCTTCGGCACTAGGTGGAGGTGAAGGTGGTATCATACTTTGATAATAGTCTCGATTCTCTTCAAGTGTATCTAATATATCTTGTGCGTCAGGATGAACAAGATCACCCCATGTTTCCCACAATGGATGTACAATATAATCTATAAAACCTACTTGAGATTTTTCGATTGTTGCGTTATGACGATCACACATTGGGCTAATATCCATTCCATTGTCACGTTCTTTATCACCTTGCAAAAAGAATTCTTCCATTAATAGAGCAACCCATCTTTTATATAATGGTAATGGTTTTGTTGGATTGCTTAAATCTGCACAATGAACTAAATTTTCAAGAACCTACAATGGTAAAATTATTTAAAATTAATATAATGAATATTGTTTGATTGTATAATAAATTTGTTAATAAAAAATTGGGTTGATATTATTTTAAATATTTTTATAAACAACAAAAAAAAAACAAAATTCTTCATTTTAATTTTTACCATTATTTAAAATATTTTTCAATTAATATACATATTTTATACAAAATAATAACGATAAATTACCCTTTACTTAATTATAACTAAAATAATATTAATTTTTACCAATTGCGTCACTCATTTCAATTTTATGACTCTAATATAAATTATTATGTTGAATAAATCTTATAAATACATTTTCGATTAGTTAATACAGAATCGATACTCATAATATCGAGACATTAATACCGATACTCTATTTCGTAACTTCATTTTTCCAAATACACATACATACATATTAATTATAGCCTTGTGAAATTGTAAAAATGTATGAATTTTAGGTTTGAACAAAAAAAAAACGAACACACTTTTATAACTGCAACAATTTTACCTGTATTCTGTCTGTGTAATTATCTAAAAGTAAAACACCGGAGCCAGCAACTTTTTTTGTTTCTGTCATGGTTTTCAAATCGGCTAATAAGCTCATATGTTTCGACATATCCGTTGACAATACAATATCTATAACCATTTTTCTTAAGGTTTGGCGCTGTTTCCTAAATTCATAAAAAAGTAGTTTTAATTACAAATAAAAAACGGAGTTCTTAAATTAATAAAAAGCATATTTAATTGATTGTGAGCAATTTACTTTGACCCGTATTTAAAATTTAAGCAAACATCTAAATTTAAATTTAAATTAAATTTGATCTATTTGTAGATCACGGAACCCGTGATGAAAATTATTTTTTTTTGTATTAGATTTATTTGATACAAGAGCGAAAGAGAACGTGTATTCTTTAAAGGTTTACAAAACCATCCGACTAGCGAAGTGCAACGGGCAGTAGCTTAAATTTCTTTGCAATTTATTTTTATTATCTTAATGAAATTCGATATTTGTGTAATCAATAGCAGTTCGATATTTGTGTAATTATAATGTCAAGTGAGATAACATACTTTTGCATATTTTGGAAAATATCACATCCAATATTCTGTAAAAGTTTAAAGGCGACAGCTAAATGGTGATTTTCTAGTACAGATTCATCATTATACATTAAGGCTAATTCAGAACCTTTAATTAAATAAAAAATAATAGATTAAATTATGATTTCAGTTTTTTTTTTGCAAATAAGTATACAAAAATTTTCATACTTGAATTAACTAAAAATTGATTTGTAAGACCCGGATGATCAACATCGTGAATACAGGCAGCAAATAGAGCACCACCAATTTCAAGTGGTGTAAAAACACCTTCTAAGGCTGGAGTATTCAATAGAACATTTGTGCTCTGTGTGACATCTGCCGCATGAAGTGAATTATGAAAAGGATTGTCTTTGACATAATGGTCTTCCAAAGTAGTCATAAAATTAATGAATGTTTTCGGTGGTATCATAAGACTTGTAAGCAATTCCCTACTCTGTAACAATACAAAAAAATATATATATGTTAATATATAAAAACATTTTATAAAAAAGTTGGACTCAACCTGGAATATCGTGTATGCAACACAGGTTAACGGACGACTACTACTTAAATCGCCAATTTTAAATATATCTATTCCCCAAGTATCTAATTCACCTAATAAGGTACCTAAAGCGTTTTCATGTGGTGTTTCTACTCCAAATGTTGGCAATCGTTCTCCTGTAAAAGAATTCGTATGCGATAATGGACGTTTAACACCAGATATTTGCGACATTGGAGGACCACTTCGTGGTGAGCGACTCCTTGGATATGATACATTACCAAGTGGCTCATTTTCATCAATTCTTAATGATGGCAAATCTAATTCTTGTTGTTTATCTAAACATAAATACATTAAAATAAATTAAGTAATGCTAGATTAATAAAAGAAAATTATAGCGGTTACCTAAGAAAGTTGAACAAATATATTCAGATATTTGATTGCCAGATTTACTAGACTCGCTAAAGTGTGAAAGTTCCTTATTCAGCATTCGTTTGAACTAAAATCATTTTTAATAAAATATTATTTATTAAAGCTGTAAATTTTAATATTTTTTTTTGTTTTACTTTTAGTGATGCCATATCTGATACACTCCTGTGAGTTTGTATAGTTTCCAATTGATCGAGACACCAATCCAATTCTTCTATAGTATCTGTTGCTAGGCGTACATAGTTTTCATCACCAGGATTTACTCGAGTGACAGTAGGAGCTTGTGTTGGACGCCTGGATCTTTTTTTGATTAATATATTGTTGTACGATAGTATGAGAGGAATATGGAGGGGGTACAAGTAGTATTACAAACATCGATATTGGGAAATAACACATAAATTTAAAAAAAAAATTATAATGCAAGCAAAAAAATAACAATACAAACACTTACAAAAAATAACTATGTTCTTGATTTTTTACGATCAATGAAATTATAGAAAAAAATACGATACTCACTTATTGGTTGCTTGAACATTTGTCAGACTTATTAGATTATTTCGTATAGATCTCAAACTTGCCAAAATTTGTGCAAATGGTGTAACGATTAAGTCTTCCCCATGTCTAATGATAAAATAATAAAATAATCTTATTATTAAAATATTTTTTTAACATTTATAAGAGTGTTTAAATAAAGAAAGTAAGCACATTGTTTGAGTTGCCGCTATGTTTTAGTGCTCGAGTCATTAATGTGTGTAAATTTAAATCAAAACAGAAAAAAAATTAAACAAAAAAAAAATAAAACAAAAAGTTATGTTTGACACTCTTTTAAAAAAGTGTGTTGATGTAAATGTTGTATATAGTCGAAAATTAATTGTCTCGCCTTATTTTATCATGCTCCATGTTCGGAAAACATTTAACATTGACAACACTAAAATATTTTTCAAACCATACGTATATCGAAATTTTGTTCGATATATTTTGTTTCAGTTTTGTTTAATTAGAGTTTATTAGAGTACCTTTTTTATATTTTCCTCACACCCCTTAAACATTATGTATGCTAGTAAAATATGAGATACAGAAGAGGTCCGCAACATTTTCGGTTAGCTATTTGTTTCTAAATGATAATCGACATCAATCGTTAAAATATTGAAATCTGAGAAACATAATTTATTTTCCTTACAACAAATAGCTGAGTCTGTGGATAAGCTAAGTTATATATTTTTTGTAGAGAGAAAAAGTCAAGCCTTATAATGAAAATATTTTATTTTTTCCAAGCAAGGCTTAAATTAAATCATCTTAGTCTTAGAGTCTGAAATTTAAGCTGTGCAAGATATTTCATAAACTAAAAGATTATGTGCTGTTTTTTTGTTATATTCATTAGAAATTTTGAAATATTGCTGATTATTTGTGATTGGAGCTCATTTTAAAATTCGATACATCAAAATCTACCAATTAGATTATGTATCGATGTGAGTTTAGTGACGTGTTTCATGCAGTCAAATGACATACATGCAAATATATGCATGTTGTCGTTTAAATTTTCTTTTGGTTAATTTGCGTTTTAATTTTAATATCAAATTTATTTCAATTTCGTAAAATCATAAGCTATAAAATCAAATATTTCAAAAACTGAATAATGCATGCAATTGTGTTTATTTGAAATTATGAATTTAATTGTGTTAATTTCAAAGGATTAAAATTTGTTAAAACAAAAATCAGTAATGAATTTAATTGAAATTATGAATTGTAAATTTTTTTTCTAATTTAAAAATGAATCAAAGAAAATTTCAAACTTTTATATACAAAGTGAGCAAATATACAAAAGTACGTACGATCTTTCAAGAAGCACTGTAGTTTCTGGTTCCTTAAATCTAAAAACATGAAATTAGTACAATTGAAACAAAAATATTAATAATGTTAAATATTATTTTATACAAAATTAAAGTAGAACAGTTTACATTTTATATAATTTGTCGTATAACTAATAAATAAATAGTGTTACGAGTATTACATATATTCTACAGATAGCTTAGAGATTTACATGCTTGTTATAGTGTTCGAGTCAGGAATTTATTAAAGAAGACTTTTACTAAATTACAACAAAATTTTTCAGTATTGTTTTTCACCAAAATTATATCGAATTTTGGAGTATTTAATTAGTTTAAATTGATTAAATTGTTGTTAAACTTACAAACCCTATTAAATTTCCATAGCATCAAGAAGAGAACAATGAATATTATGACGATGCTACATTTCGCATATCGAATTTACGGCGGGACTGCACTTCTGGTAAGGTAACGTACATAAAATATTTTCAGGTCTGCCAGTTTGTAAGCACTTATGTATTTCATGTGAATGGGTTTGGATAAACATGCTTAGTTTACTTCGGGCCGATTTTAGAATTTTTATAATTTTTTTAAAAACATTTAACAAATTAATAGAAAATTTTATTAATGTAAGCTTCGTCTTACAATTATCACATTATCATATTACTTTTTGAGAAAATCAGCAACTGAACTTTAAATATAGGCCGAATTAACTTTTTGTTCATATATAGAGAAATAATCAATCCATGACAAAAATTTTCAAAAATTGAACTAGCAAATTTTTCTCTAATATCTCAATAATTTTCTCGAATATAGAGCTTGGAAACCGAACTTTTAGGGTAAAATCAACCCCATTTTTTTACCATATATAAGAAACTATGTAGTTAAAGGAATTTTTTTAAATTTAATGTATAGTTTTTGTTAATCAAACGGAACTAAATGATGAGGTGGGAATTTTTAGAGGATAAAATTTTTGAACAGTATAAAATAAAAATCAACAATTTTCTAAGAATCAAATTTCTATTTTTCTTGGTATACAAAAGAAGGGCTTACAAGCTCTTAAAATTTAAAGGAGATTTTCAGGTACATTTTTAAGGTCAAAATAGAATTTGCGGTCAGTTATGTGCTGACCATATTCGACTTTATTTAAACTGGTGTAGTTACATTTTAAAAATAGAAATAAGTTAAAGTTAATTTTAATAAGATATTGACATCATCTGTTTAAAACTCTTAAATACCTGGGTTTATAAAAAACAGCTTCTATTTCAAAAGTCAATAAAATTTTTGTAAATTGTTTAAACTCTCGTTTATCTTTATAGGTTTTGGCAAACAGAGAAAGAAAATTTCATTAACATTTAGATCAAAAAATTCCTAAAGAACGCTGTAATTTATTTTAATACATGGGCTGTAATTAATTACAAGCTTATTCTTAAGACGAATTTGTTATGACAAAAAAAAATAAGTGTTTTATTTAAAATTAAAATTATTTTACCTTTCACTTGCGATACTAGAATTCCTAGACATTGATTTTGGTGACATTTCAAAATCTGAATCTGATCGATAAAGAAATGATTCTCGGCGTTGTGGAAGATTTTGTAGTACAAGACCGGCACTCGGTGATCCACCCTCCAGGGGGGATCGCACTCCTTGGCCATTCTCAACATCGAAGCTAAAATAAAATTAATTTTTTTTTTAGTTTATTTAATTAAATTTATTTAAATTGAGCTTTATATTTTATAAGATTTTTTGATTGTACTCGTATAATAAATAATTAAGTGTAATTTAAATATAAATTAATTTAATTAAATTGTCAACAAGATATTTTAAAAATTAATTTTTGTTTTGTTTAAATTTATAGAGAGAAAATTTGCAATAAAATATGCTTAAGTTCTTGTATAGAAATACTCTAACTATAATTCACAATTTCATAGTTTTTTGTTTTTACTTAAAATTAATTTATTTAAAGAGTAACCAAAACATACAAAACTCCTAAAATTTTTTGTGTTATAAGAAAAAGAATTTTTCATTTCCAGACACAGACACATTGATGTTCTTCATTTGTCCACTCTGCGTACTCTGTACATTTTCATATAGGAAAAAAGTATTTGTCCTTCCTAATAATTTGCATGCATTTAAAATGAAGTCGATTTTAGCTTTGGTTCCAATAATTTATTTAAATAACAAGATAAAATTGCCATATATTTTAAGGCCAATTAAAAACCAAACTATCGAACATTAAATTTTTTAAAAGATTTTGTCTAAATATTACAAAAATAACACTTTACTAAATAAAAATTCAAACTTTCATTCATAAATTCGGTAATTGATATGCTCCGTATAAAATTGAAACTAGATTTTCAATATATATATATATATATATATATATATATCTAAACATTTAATTATTGTCGAATAAAATTTTCTTTCAAAATTTAAAAAATTTAGTCTAGATTTAGCAAATAACGCTGTACTATTTCGCTTTCAACTATAAGACCCCCGGAATGAAAAACAAGCAAAAAATAACAAAGTTAAATCAAACTGTTGTTAAATCAAAACGGCGACTCGATTGAATCCACATTAAAAAAAAGTATTAAAGGATTTTAAAAGAAAAATCTCCTATCTCTGAAATTGTTTGAACTATCATAAGATCAACTAAAACACACTAAATCGAGTGTTTCCGATACTGCTGTAAGAAAATGTTTACTGCATATTTGGATGTGTCCCGCGTACCTTCTGAAGCGCTAAAAAAAATTCTTTAATTTGTCTTCCCCTAAGAAATATTTGGAAAGAGCTCTTTTAATTATAAATTTTTCTTAAATTTGAAAGCCGCAAATTAAGTATGTATATTGCATCTGTCTGATTCAGTGGTTATTCTACTTTTGTTTATTTAAACATTTGACAAAAATAAACTTTCTTTTTAAAATACACAGATGTCGTCTATAATTTTAATTAAGTCTGTTCAAATTTGATACGTGCAACGCTCAGCAATCTTAAATTTTTATCACGTTAATTAAAATTTATTTGTATGTATACAAGTAATAATTGTGACCTTTTATTTATTAATTTATTTGTTTTTTTTTTTTAAAGATTATAAGATATTTTTGTAGTCTATTATTATATCGTTGCAAATTCTTTATTTAAGATTAATTGGGGTGGTCATGAATAAAATTAAAAATGAATGACTAATTCAATTTTCATATACACATATTATACATTTAGTGGCACAAGTATACGTATATACTTATATGTATATGTATGAATGATAAAGATTAAATAAATTTTAAATATGCATAAAAACATCTTCAATTAACATTCACATTATAAGTATGTTAAATTTGAATGCAATTTAATTTTATACCTGCCGGTTGTACGTCTACGTGCTCCTGCAATAGTCATGCGCGTAACATATCTTCGAATTCTTCCGCTTGATCTCCTATGTGTACTAGTACGAGTACATTCAATTGAACTTCTACGATTATCTATGGGTAAGACATCAGAATATATTGATGATGAAATAGTTGAAGCTGTTGAACGTCTTTTAGCACCAGTAAAAGTACCACCACCACTAGAAGAAGTTGTTGTTGCTGATGAATCACTTCTAGAAAATACTGAACTTTGACCTAAAGATGATCGTTTACCTCTAGTAGATAATGATGTTTGACAAATAATACTGTAATTTATTGAATTCGATTGAAGATTATCAATAAAACTTTCATCTTCCTTATCTAAGATATTTTTATTATTTTCTATTTTATGACTATTGCTACAATTGCTATTGTCCGTGATGTATTCCTCTGTGATATTATCTTTAACTTCTATTGGTGTAACAAATTCGGATTGATTTTGTGTGTATAATAAAGAATTTGATTGTTTTGAACAAAATAAAGAACGTAAAAACGTTAAGACGATGAAAAACGTTGCAATCATATCACATGTTTATTACAATTATTTTTATTTTCTTTATTTTTATTTCACTTTTACTATTATTAAACATTTATTTGTATAAGTTTTTAATAAATTAATATTAATTTTATCTAAAGTCAAATTTCATTCTGCAAAAAAAATTGCCAAATTTTAAAAAATTTCTTCATTGTTAATTATTTTTTCCCCTAAAATAAGATTCAAAACTGTTGCTTTTTATTCAAAATCAATTATAAACTGTAGCCGAAAGAAAGAATTCCTTATAGAAATTTATTTAAAATAATTAATTAATATAGTGTAGGAGCGAAATTAATAAACGAAATTGTTTTTCTTTTGTGTTTGACATCAGTTCTGCTTTCCGTCACTAGTACAAGAATACTTTCGTAAAAAAACGTCAGAAAAAAGTGATCGACAGCAATGGACCGCCAAATAATTCAACGTCATTCAATTTGATTATTATTAAAATTTATCGTCAAGCAGAATGGAATGCTATAGGAAATTTTTTTTCTTTATTTTGTTTTATAAAATTATTTGGATAATTGGGCTTTCAGAAATAATAAGGAAATGCCCGCGCATTTAAAAGAAAAAAAAACAAAACATTTAAAGAATTTCATAATAATGGTATATGTGATATTTTATAATATTTTAACACCTGTCTACTAATGGATAAGATTAATATAAGATTAATTGATTAGTTGAGAATTTTTTCGAAAATAAGTGTTTTAAGTTATCGAATCTTAACAATATGCCGAGAAAGTCAAATTAAGAGAATATAATCTTGTATCAATGTGAATTGTAAATCAATGTGGAAATCGAACTGTAGGCTCAATCATGTGGGGTAATACTTTAGTATTTTTAACATACAATTCCGTCGACGTTGTTTAGTTTTATGAGGAAATATTTTTGCCTACATTTAGGAGAAATTTTAATTTTAAAAATTTTAAATAGCATAACAGTTTCGAATAGAGAAGACACATTTAACCACATAGTCCGTTCGGTACCATTTCAATTTCAATACTGCAATGCAATTAACAGTGTTAGAAAATTTTTATACCCTAATTAATTAAAAATTATTAAATTTGAAATAATTGTTACTCTTTTAAGGAAAATGAAAAAAAAATGTATATATTGGAAAGAAAATTGACATTCACTTTAAAATCGCATTGATTTTACTCTCTACTATAGGCTTATATATATACATATATAAATATTATAATAATATATAATCTTCTTAGTCATTGTTCTTATGTATAGAATAACGCATCAGATAATATTCTCAATATAAAATATAAAATTTTATTGGATAATATCTAATATTCTCTTGTATTTTTTTTTTCTGCTGCTTGTCAAACGATTTGTTATGTAAAAATCATTTTATATTATGAATATTAAAGTGTATACACATACATATATAATACGAAAACTAAATAAATAAGTAGTGCATGATTTAAAAAATAAATTGAATTTTTATTACTCTATAAAAACACAAAAAATATTTTATGAATACCCGGAATAATTATGATGTACTCGTAGCAAAAGGGCTAATAAACGCAATCATTTTTTAAATTTAATTATAATATTTTACAAAATAAATTCTGTAATGAATAATTTTTAAAATAAAGAATAACAAAAATATTGTAATAAAATATTTATAAAAGAAAAATAGAAGAATTCTAAATTTAATATTTTCCGATTATTTATTAGCTGAATTCAATTCGAATATGTGCCATTATGCTGAATACCGTAACATAATATGTAAGCCGAACACTTTAATATTTGATTTTATCATAGCAATATTGAATCTCCAAACATAAAATGTATATATGTATGTAGCTAATGTATATTAATAAAAACCACGTGTTCATCTAAACTAAAAACAAAAACAAAATGTTTTTCTTAGAAAATTTAATATTGTCCTGCTTTACATTTTAAAATTTTGTGAATAATTTGTTAAATATTTTTTAGATTAAAAAAAAAATTACAAAAACAAAATTTGATATTTTTATACAATATTTTAAGTATTTAAAAATTTATGAAAAATTCAAAATATAAAAACAACAAAATAATTATTGTTGTCGCAGTGTTGAGAGAACAAAATGCTGTCAACGTTGTTCTATGTAGGTTAATAATAATAAGAATATTGTAATTGTGTGTGAACACATTTTTCTTTTCCCGGGTACCTAGAAAATATTTGCAAAGCTTTTTTGTTTCTGTTTTTTTTTTTTTTTAATTTTTGTTGTAGTTTGTTTGACATATGAGAACATGAAAATAAAGTTAAGTTGAAAATGATTTTTCTTTTCTTCTGATTTTTTTTTTGTTTCTTGTTTTTTTGCTCTCCTTGTTTTTATTGTTGTTGTTGTTTTCCAATTAATCTGTTGTTATTTTGTTATTATTATTTTTTTCCTAAATCTTTTTTTTTTTTTGTTGTGCTTTTCTATTCTCTCATTTTATTATTTACTCTATAACATTTTTTCGAATTAAAAACAAGAATTATTCAATTTTTTTTAATCAAAATTTCACTTAATGTTATACACGATGTGTAAAACAAAAATAAATTACTTTCATTATTAATAATGACAATAACTACAAATAAATTGTTATTCAGGCATATGTATATGTACATACATATATATATCCTTATGTATATAAAGATACGCAAACAACAATTTACATACTTATTTGTACAAGGTATTATGAATATTTATATATATACAGTAAAACTTGTCAAAAATGGGCACTGTCAAAGAC